ATACATAGTTTCAACTATGACAGACATTAAAACAAAATATAAAAATAAACTGAACTTAGAGACCTCTGAATCATTGCATTGCTAACTATTAAACTAAGATTTTAAAAAGTGGTGAAGCATGACCAGTCATAACTTAGTAAAATTGTGAATCAGTCAATTACATTGTTCTCATTAAAGATATATTTATTTTTATAAAATAGAATCTACATTGAAGTATTATTTCATCTTTATGTCAACCCAATTGTTTTCTGATTTATAATTATATAAATCATATAACAAAAGATGCATATGCTTTGTAGATTAAAAATATACATATACTGTAAGTGGATGCTTAAAGCATTTTTACAAATAGACTATACTCAAAATGTTTCAAGGCCACTGTCCTAATGTTTCCTCTGTTAATGATTTTAAAAAGTCTTACAGTGGAAACAAAGCAAAAAAAAAGCTTTTAAAAAATGATTATCAGGGTTTTTTTAATGTTTTGAATAAACTATCCTTTAGGAAAGGATGTTGTATATGCAAAGCAAACAATGACAGGAAAACAGGTCAAGAATTTTATCTAAATGGACACTGACAACATGATTAAATCCATGTTACAATGATCTAGATCAGTTAAGCAAACAGCCAGAATTATCCTGAAATCTAGTTCATAATGTCGAATTGGATCTCATTTTACTATGTCCTTTAAAAAATGTTTGGTGACCTCTTGGACATTGGAACGACCCAAAGTCACTGCGAAATTATTTTCCATATAAACCATTCCATAGCTTTCTAAAATGCTCCTGAAACTTTTATCACTGATCACATGCCAATTATCTATTCTCAACAACAGATTCACTGTACTTGTTTAAGATACCTTGGAGACTGAATAGTCAACACACTGGCAAAATTTTTTAAGTGAAAGGTTTCCTCAATTATAACTTTGAAATTTGTAACATCCTCTAGTATTTACAAGAGAATAATGTTAAATATTGGCAAGGTAAAACCCACAGTAAATATGATGAGTATCTCTGTTTCAAATGACATGCGTATTCATAAAGACGCCCCTACACCTTGCAGATATGAATCGTTTTAAGTACTTACCAAAATGAGCCAGTTTACACAGTGATCCTTGGGGTCCATAGCAGAAGATACGTGACAAGGAGCAAAGGGAAGCCAATGCAGATGAAAAGTGTCCTCAACAAGAGATTTTTCTGTTTTATTACCGCAGCAGTAAAAGCGTCAAGAGAAGCCAGTTTCTCATCTCCAGTTCACATCAGTACAGAGAAGGATCAAAAAGACTATAGTCGCTAGACTGAGGATGTGGTACGGAATTGGTACAGCCACACAGTGACCAGCACCAACTACAGGGCCTTGGAGAAGCCCCACAAAAAAGGGTGAAGGGTTCCATGACAGCCCAGTGTGTAAGTCAGACTACACAGCAAGGGTGACCCAGGACACCGAGATCTCCCCACCTGGGCAAAACAAGGGATGCAGGAATCAAGAGTTTAAGTCAAAATATGCGCTTTGTAGATTCAGTGTTCGTTGATATTATTTTTCATCAAAGAAAGCCTCTTCCTACATTTTCAAATGACATTTACTGAACTGTCAGTTGTCTTGTAGGATATGTTGCTTCAGTTTTTCCTATAGGAATCTAATAAATACAGTGCTCCCACATATAATACTAAAAGTTACATATTTCAACCTAATCTTTGTTAACCAGAATAGAGGGTAATATTTTATTTTGAGATTACTTAGTTTATATGAAAGCTTTAAAAAGACACAATACCCAGAAAATTAATAATCCTGATGGGTTGAAAATAAATCAGTCTGCCAAAAGGAGAAAGATGTTTGTTCTTCCAATAGGACCATCTAGTCAAATGAATAGATGTGCTATAAGGGGGGAAAAAACCCTACACCAAGACTACTAGAGGCAAGCAGCAACTGTAACATACTGAAAAGTAAACATCACCTTGTTTCTAGACAGACTGCATAGTGAACCACCCAGGAGCACCACAGAAACCAGGCTATGTGGAAATGAGCACATACACACAGATCAATACCCACAATGTAACGCCCATGCAGAAGTAAGACTACCCTGGCGAAGTGGCAAAGCTAAATGGCTATATGCCATTGGATTAGAGAGAATAATCAAGCTGAAGACATTCACCAGGTCAATGACTGAAATTTGTATCTTTAGAAATGCCAAAATCATCCAAAAGGCAGTGGAAACTCAGAAAAGTTCAAAACCATAAGAACAAACAGCAAAAGGAAGCAGAAAGATCTTAACTTCTGTGAGTTGACAAGACAGAGACATTTCACTTACATAGCTGGGAGGAGTGAAGGAAGTGAGGGCTGCGTGGAGGGTTGGCTCTGCAGAGGTGTATGGAGATGTGGGAGGGGTATGGGGATGTGGGTAGGGTATTGAGGAAGTGGGGGTCAGGGGGTTGTGATGAGGATGTGTGATGCCTTTAGAGGGATGTGCAGGATTATGGGGATTTCTAGGGGGTTGTGGGGGGCATTGAGGGGTATGTGGTGGGCATTTACGGGGCAGGTGGAGGTGTGTGTGGAGTGTAGGGGGATGTGGGGAACCAGGGAAGATTAGTTGGGGAGCAGTGGGGTATAGGAGTATGTGGTTTGTGTGCAGCAGGATTGGGGCGGTGCACATGGGAAACATGCCAAGGCCATATGTCTATGCACTTTATTTGTGTAATGGCATAAATAATTGTTAAGTGGCATAAATTATTCTGATTTAAAGGTCCTTACCTTAAAACTATGTAAAGCCATTTTTCACAAGAGCAGAAAATCAAATTGAAGATGTAAATTACTACATTTATGACTATATCCCCTCTGTTTTAAATAAATCAATCTGACTTTCATCACAGATTCATGGCCTCAAAGAGGGGATAGCCAAGTATTTAAATCAGAAACCTTATTGTATAGTTGTTTCACAACATTTGGGGACCTCAGAGACAGTTTACTGAAAATAAAATCAGGATGTCATCACATTCCCTCTCTGGTATTACAAAAGACAAGTGACACTCTTATTTCCAGAGTATGACCTCTATGCCTGTTCTCTACCAACCAGAGTCCCATGAAATCAGGCATGCATAGGAATTAGCTGAAAATTGGAAACACACACAATACATACATTGCCTGTCCAGGTCCTTGAATACAGTTTTCTCCTTGTTTTCAAAATTGCTCTGCCATACCGTCTCTATTGCTTTCCTAGCAGATGGCAGTGTATCTGAGTGGACACCATCAATGTTTCAACAAGCATCATATTCCATAAAAATGTGCATAGTCTGGTTGACTCCTCTTGGGACTGCTTTCTCACTTCATTCCTATAACTGAAAAGTAAACATCACCTTGTTTCTAGACAGACTGCATAGTGAACCACCCAGGAGCACCACAGAAACCAGGCTATGTGGAAATGAGCACATACACACAGATCAATACCCACAATGTAACGCCCATGCAGAAGTAAGACTACCCTGGCGAAGTGGCAAAGCTAAATGGCTATATGCCATTGGATTAGAGAGAATAATCAAGCTGAAGACATTCACCAGGTCAATGACTGAAATTTGTATCTTTAGAAATGCCAAAATCATCCAAAAGGCAGTGGAAACTCAGAAAAGTTCAAAACCATAAGAACAAACAGCAAAAGGAAGCAGAAAGATCTTAACTTCTGTGAGTTGACAAGACAGAGACATTTCACTTACATAGCTGGGAGGAGTGAAGGAAGTGAGGGCTGCGTGGAGGGTTGGCTCTGCAGAGGTGTATGGAGATGTGGGAGGGGTATGGGGATGTGGGTAGGGTATTGAGGAAGTGGGGGTCAGGGGGTTGTGATGAGGATGTGTGATGCCTTTAGAGGGATGTGCAGGATTATGGGGATTTCTAGGGGGTTGTGGGGGGCATTGAGGGGTATGTGGTGGGCATTTACGGGGCAGGTGGAGGTGTGTGTGGAGTGTAGGGGGATGTGGGGAACCAGGGAAGATTAGTTGGGGAGCAGTGGGGTATAGGAGTATGTGGTTTGTGTGCAGCAGGATTGGGGCGGTGCACATGGGAAACATGCCAAGGCCATATGTCTATGCACTTTATTTGTGTAATGGCATAAATAATTGTTAAGTGGCATAAATTATTCTGATTTAAAGGTCCTTACCTTAAAACTATGTAAAGCCATTTTTCACAAGAGCAGAAAATCAAATTGAAGATGTAAATTACTACATTTATGACTATATCCCCTCTGTTTTAAATAAATCAATCTGACTTTCATCACAGATTCATGGCCTCAAAGAGGGGATAGCCAAGTATTTAAATCAGAAACCTTATTGTATAGTTGTTTCACAACATTTGGGGACCTCAGAGACAGTTTACTGAAAATAAAATCAGGATGTCATCACATTCCCTCTCTGGTATTACAAAAGACAAGTGACACTCTTATTTCCAGAGTATGACCTCTATGCCTGTTCTCTACCAACCAGAGTCCCATGAAATCAGGCATGCATAGGAATTAGCTGAAAATTGGAAACACACACAATACATACATTGCCTGTCCAGGTCCTTGAATACAGTTTTCTCCTTGTTTTCAAAATTGCTCTGCCATACCGTCTCTATTGCTTTCCTAGCAGATGGCAGTGTATCTGAGTGGACACCATCAATGTTTCAACAAGCATCATATTCCATAAAAATGTGCATAGTCTGGTTGACTCCTCTTGGGACTGCTTTCTCACTTCATTCCTATTTTAATTTCCAACCCATTTTGAAGAAAAGAGCCACCTTTTGACTAAAGCCAAGCTTCAGACACAATTTTAGTTTCAGCCTTCTCTTAGTCCCCAAATGAACAGTTACTCTACATAAATTTCATTTTCTACTCAGTTTATTTGGCAACATTCAGGACTACATAGATTTTTTTCCCACTAATATGCCTCTTGTTCACTTACCCACACAAACATGATATATTCAGAAATTAAACATTTCTGAGCTTCTGATTTCAGAGGACTTTATCTTCAGGTTCTTACCTCAGAATTGTTAAGGTGACATTTGTGAGTTCCTGAAAACCAGCCATCACTTGAACATTGGTCAATGTCCACTTTCTGAAGATTTATGTCAACTTTCATGACACCCCTTAAAAACAGAAATAGAAAAAACAAATTAATCTGACATCTAGCTCTGTATTCTATCCCAGAATTCAGACAAATCAGCATAAAGAATGCACTAAAATTTTTCAAATCACCCATTCATATTCAAAGTGCTCCAGGTGAAGACAGATGTAAAAGAACAGAATCAACAAGTATTAGTTTTACCAAAGTCCCCAAGGCAGGGACTCTGTATTATTCACTGTCTTCAACTCCCTCTATAAAGCCTGGAACATAGTAGGTGGTTAATAAGTATTTGTTGATGGATTGAACTCCAGACAGTTTTTCTCTAGACATGGTAGCAAAAATAACTCTAAAATAACCCCTGCTCCCAGTACCCTTTCTACTAAAATACACCTAAAGAAAGCCCTCACACCTCATCTCTTTCTACTGTTTCCCATTGCAGGGCCAGGGATGGGAAAGTTGAGGAAACAGAGGTTAAGGGTAGGGGACAGTATCAGAAAATAAGCCTCTCTTTGCTCTGATCTTCTATCACAATGACTTTAAAGAGCTCTTTATATTTCCCAGTGCTCCACACAAAACAGAGATTTCCACCACCTACAGAAGTGCTGATAAGCATTTTTCTTTTAAATCTAGAAACAAAAACACTGCATTTCACTTATCCTTTTGAGAAAAGTCTCCAAGAAAGAGAACCCTCAAATTCAGAGCCAAAAGCAAACCTGCAAAGAAAAGAAAGATCTGACTTTATCTAAAAATCCTCCGTTTTCTCCAATCTCCTTATCTTTTCCTAAGATCCATCTGTTTAATTTTTCACCACTACCAGCAGCAGAAATATGTGTCCTACACTGAACTGTAGCACCTGTTGATTGAAATAAATATTTTGTGTTCTGGTCCCTGAAGCCCAAAGCTTTATAATGTCATCTTTCACAAACTTAAGTATAAACATCCCACACTAACCCACAATAATAAACACATATTTTCAATTCCCCATGTTCTCAATTGAAACTGTTTTCACTGCATTATTAAATAGGTACAAACTAAAGGCAGGCTCAAATCCCCTAAATTGTTGCTCTCATACCTACAAGACCCCCCCTTAAATTACAAAATAAATGCGAACAAAATTCTAATTAAAAATATTCATTTAAAAGCACCAATGATTATGCTTCTCCAAACCAAATCACCTCTCAGAACAGGAACGTGGTACGGACTGTTCAACAAGCCTATTTTAACCACGTTTGACTCACTTGCCTCATCTCTTTTGTCCTTTTAAACTATGTGAAATCTTCCAACTCTTAATGTCATTTTGGTTCACTTGGAGTAGAGTAAATCATTTACTTTTTCAGGCTGCTTCTGTTCTTATTATCCTGTGATGAAATATTACACTACTTAGTGCTCAGAAGAGACACAAAAGCAAACAGGGACACCAAAAGTTCCTACTAGGATTTGGTTGTCCAAATAACCCAGAATATGAGTAAGTTAATTTTTCAGAGGACCACTGAAATGAAAAATAAAAACCCAAAAATAATCATAGAAAACTTTGAAATCATTCAGAGAAACAGACCCCAGTTTGAGAAATACTACTAATGTGGACCATAATTCTGTAAAACAAATAATGTTCATATGATAAATAACCGAATTCCCAGGTAACCTAGTATCTTAACCCAGTTCTTTCCTTTGTTCTTTCAACAAATCCTTATTTTCTGGTATGTATATATCACTATAGGAGACACCATGGAGGTTATCCACATGGGCTTGCCCGAACAACACCAAAAAGTTTGTTTTGAAAAGTATCAGAATGTTTAACAGAAAATTTAGAAAGTTATCATTTGGGGTATATAGTAAGTATTCCATAAATAGTTGTCGACTTCTTGTCTACCTTCACTACCAGGACCTTCAATAGAATATGTTCCACATAGGTCATGCCAATCATACAAGCCCACTCTTGACTCTATGCTCTTTGGAAATAACATATTCAATGTTTTCCTTCAGTAATATTTATCAAACACTTACTATAGGCCAAAATTGTTCTTGGCCTTTGAAATACATTAGTGAGCAGAAAAAAATTCCTGCCTTCATAGAGCTTAACTCTAGTGTGGGATACATAAATAATCAACAATGGCTATAATAAATAAGTAAATTATGATACATATAAGTAAAAAGGGCAATGGGAAAAAAATTCAAGCAGGTAAGAGGGATGAATGGCAGTATGAGGGTAAGTTGAACTTTTTAAGGGTGGTAAGGATTGTGATTATTTCTAACTCAACCAAGAGTTCAAGGTATTACAGCACATTCATATTCACACCCTAAATTACTAGTCACCTTCTTCAGTGATGACTGAAATTTCTTACTGGACTACTACTGTTTACTACGTTTTGGCATTCATCCATAAAAATGTCTTATTTAGCATGTATCTGTAAGTAGAGAACTAATACAAATATGCATTTCCATTTGTTCCACAATTGTTAGTAATAATGAGGTCAAGTTTTCCTGAACTATAATGCTACACTGAAAGGGTTTAGTCGCGAGATAGTGGAAATTTCTTTAAATCTTCCAGCTTGCTCAGGGACACAGGCTAATTTGGGATTATAGGAGGCTACAATGACACTGGTCCTTTTCCTAAGGAAACTGGTTTAAGAAATAGGTATCTTTATCTTTGACTTTTCTTTTTGAACCCCAGGTTCACATATGGGAACCAGAAAGTCACACAGACTTTAAACTCAGCTCACGAAGCTTTCTGGGCTTTGAGCAAAAACACCAAGTTAATGAGCCATGCGTTTACCAGCTGGGAAATCAGCACTGACTCATCTTCATTAGCGCCTCTGCTCTGCGCGAGGAGACCTACAAAGCCCTTGGGAAGGTGCCGGTGGACTTCCTGCAGGGGAAGTGGAGGTTTGGGGTACTAGGTGGGAAGAGAATGGGGTCTTTGGTGGAGAAAAGCATCCCGCCCAAAGCAACACAGAGCCCCAAACCCCGCCGGCCACGAGCAGAGAGGCATCGGATTGGGCTGAGAGCAGCCCCGGAGCCTGGGAGTCGAGTCCCCTGAGCATGCGCCTCTGGGGCGGAAGTGCTACTCTCACATCCGGTGCGTGGGCGCCTGTGGGGAAGCTCCGCGGATGAGGGCGTGACAACTGTTTCGTGGTCTGAGGACAGGATAGCAAGGGCCGACGGAAGCCTGGTCAGTAGCTCCGAAAAATAGAAAATACAGCAGACAATGCCTCCAAACACCTGGTGCTTAGGTGAGCTGCAGTACAGCATTTTCCTCTGCTAATCTGACAGCTGAAACTCCACAAGCTCAAAACGGAAATCCTCTGCCTCCCAAACTTGAAATTCTCCTGATGTTCTGCCTCCGTGAATGACCTACATCCTTCCACTTAAGTCAATGACCTTTTTGTTAGGAATCTCACCCCACACCCTCCAGCCCCCACCCCCACCCCCGCCAAATCAAAACATTGCCAAGTTGCCTAGATTGTATCCCCTACGTGCTTCTTGGATCTTGACCCGCTACTTCGTTTCTGCTACCACTGCCTTCAACTCTCACGGGGCTAAAAAATTTTTGTAAGTAATTTAGTCCTGTCTGTCACTGCTCCAGGCAAAGATCCTGGTTTGTGAGTGGTGAAGTTTATATGGTTTAAGGTGGTCCTTCTTTAAGAAACAAATATAAAATCATGGATATATCTACACAATATAACCTTTCCCCTAAATCTTTGTGTCATAACTGCTAGATGGGTAGTAAGATCATTATCAGAAGCTATTTCTATACCAGGATGGCTAGCAATAGCAACTATACACAGAAGTGACAACAAACTAGTTAGTACATACCACTAAGAAATCCTGAAATTTCCCTTAGCTGGTTTCCAAAAATGCCCATAGCCTAGGGAAAATGCAATGGAGGTAAGTTACAGTAGAAAGAGACTATTGCAGTTAAAATATTTTCCTTTTGCAAATTTTGCAGGCAACAGTTGACCACAAAACCCATTGCTAGTAACCATTCCAGGAATTTGGAAGGTTCCCATATAAGCAAGGGGCTCTAGAGCTTAAGCATCATCTAGTGCTGTGTAATCTTTGAAACGTTTAAACCTGATCCTGATAATTCTCGGCTTAAAATTGGTATATCCCACCTTCTAAAGAATAAAATCCAAGCTCCTTGGTATAACATAATATTCCAGCCCTTCTTATAACTTCTCCAGCCACTCTCCTCCATGTATTCTTTTTTCCAGAAAATTCAGAATTACATGTGGGATCCTAAAATAATTCATTCTATCTCAGAAAACTATTCTCTTATAAATGCTTTTATACCTAAAGTTCCTTTGCCTAAACTGTGCTTTACATATCGTAGCTCCTACCTGACTCCTTTCTAAGCCTTCCATAAACACAGACTCTGAGAAGCTAGTTCCCTGTTTTGCGTGCGGTATACTTTGCTACTTCCCTGTTCTTAGTATACTTAACCTTCTTCGTATCATTAGCACACTGTCTTATAATATCTGATGTTTTAATGTTTTTCTACCAGACTAAGATTTCTGTAGCCCGCGTCTTTGTAGTATTTCCCCTCAGCTCCTAAATCAGCCCACCCCCAGTTAACCTTGAAGAAATTGCAGACGCTAGAGAGAAGCAAGGATTAGGTCAACTAACAACGACCAAAAAAGAAAGACAGAAAGAATACACAAGCAAACTAAAAAATATCGTGAACTACTCTCAAAGACTGAATAGGCTCAAGAAAAGTTTTGAAATTCTGCTTTTGCTTCTTCCCCATGCTATCTTGGACACTCTCTTCTTGCTCTGTCACTACAAAACACTGACAGTAATAGCCCATTTCCCACTTACTATCCAATTCATTTTATGTGGTTTCGATTCCAAACCACCTGAGGACAATACAAAACAACAACGATAACAAATATATATATTCGCATTTTAGATATGCATATAGATCCAAGAATCTTAACAGAAATATTGGCTAAACATACATTAAGATATGTTAAAATAATTATAAATCATGATCCACTGGAGTGTACTTCAAGAATGAAAGGATGT